CCCAGACTCTAAAATATCGAACTAAGCTTTGCCGCCGAGGTCAAACATTGAGGAGTGACACTCGATTGCTAACCCAAACTAACTTGGAAGAGAATACAGAAAGCATATATCTCCTATGAACAGTATAGACGCACCATCGGTAAGACCTGGTGGTAGGTAATGTGGAACTATACAGCAATCATTAGTACTACGCTAACTTATAGGGCTATTCTCCATATAACCACTGTTGCTATAGAACGAAATGCAGAAGTCGGTTCTACTGTTGGAAGTCAAAGTGGACAAAAAGCACTAAGCAATCAACACGAAAAGCATTGGTTTGGTGACAACACAGTGGCAGGTGAGTACCATTTACACTGTGTAACGTGTTAAGTTACTTGTCCCTTTTTTTTTAATTTAATTTTATATAACCCTTTCTAATGTTGACAGTCTGGCGACTGAAATTTGAAATACAGGGTTCTTGCTGCTCGTAATGTTAGCAATTAACAAATTATTACAATAGAGGGCAGGATTTTCATTTAAATTTGACGTACTGGTTAGTACCAACGATTTCCGTCGAGAGGAAGCGCTGTCTGCTCACTTGGTCCATTTGAAATTTTTTTTTTTTTTTGAATTGTGTCGTCGAGCTGCAAAGTCGATCGGCTGAAAATCGCCATCTTCTCGAGATAAAGTACCTTATCGGCCTTCAGGCATCACCTTATATAAGCAAAATTAAGTTGCGTAAGACAGTAGCCCATGGATTACCGAGAAAAATTAAATAAAAAGTCTCGTGAATACTGTTTAATTTAAGTTTGAATTTCAACTCGCTTCGCAGGTCTTTCGAAGAGCCGTTTCTCTCAACAAATCCATTCCTAAAAGGCCACATTTTCAATAAGAACCCCATTTCCGTGGAGTGTGGCATAGAGCTTTTGAAGGGATTTCTACAAGAATCAAGATCCTCACGAGTCGATACGTGTGCCCCACGTTGGGCGCCATTTTATGTAAGCCTTTTTGTTAATGAATAACAAGAGGCCCCTTATAATTTTTCGCTGAGCAAACCGAGCATGTTATGGTACTCTTGTAAATTCATTAACAAAAGGGGTTACATAATCAATCAATCAATTTTTGGCGTCATAGGTGCTTACCCAACAATTTCAAATTTAGAACATATTGTCCAACCCTGACCTCAGTTCAGATTAATGATTATGATGAATAAAAGATAAAATATAAGTACATTGTTCAAATATGACGGTACTTGAAGTTAAATAAAAAAAAACTACAGTAAAGACGGCAAAACAAAAATTAAAAAATAGAGTTCACTCTGGTGTCAAGAATAATGAATGAAATTGAAACTTTAAAATTTAAAGGTAATGTCGCTAAACATTCAATCAAATATGGTAATTGATAATAAAATACAAGCCTCAATTCGCCATTAGACCAATCGTACTCATCCTTAGAAGAGATATGAGTTACTGCTCTCGGCGACGTCATCGCCTACGTGGAATCACTAGGCTGGATGACGTGCTATGGATGACTTCTCTTGTCGAGGCGCACAATGAACCTACTGTGGCCTATGAGTGCTGTGGCATACCACCGTCCCAAACTTACAGATACAGAGAAAGGATCGGAAATTGAGCTTTGCAGACCACAGATAAAACTTAGAACTTATACAGTTCCAACCATAGGCTGAGAAAAGATTGAGAGGCAGACTACAGATGCAGTGGATCGATGACTTCAAATTAACTGCAATATTACAATAGCTGGGTTCGGCTATTCAAAGCGGAATTGGAGTGGAGTGAACAGAGCTAATAGAGTCACCCCTAATACGGTAAAAAGCAATACCCGAACCTTAACCCGAGCGGCTGAAGTGCGAATGGAGTCACTGGGAGTGTACGGAGTGAGCAAGCCGAACCCACCTAATTGAAATGGGCTGGTGGACTAGATAGTCTTGATTTTTAAGCACGCGTATTGAAAGTATTTTCAGCACGCGTGTGATATTTAGCGCTTTCCAAAGAACCAACTAGTGCGGATTTTGTCATTTTCGTATGTGGTCGTAGGAAAAAAAAATTACCTGCTAAGGATATATATATATATATATATATATAAGATATAGAAAAGAACAGCAGCAAACAGACATTTTTGTGTCACGTGGAAGCTCATATTTAATCAATATTTATTACCCATTCGAATGTTTGAGGAGTGAGGAGTAGCAATATCAAAAACTTCCTAAAAATTAGTGTTCTGATCGATATCTTTTGCACAAAATTTTAAACTTACCATTGTTGATAATATGTAAGATGTTTCGGCAACATCTTCTTACCTGTAATCTTTAATCAAATAAAACGTGTACATTTTTGTTTGAGTACTGATAAAATGTTCGTGGAAAAAACGATTGCTTGATGCGTTTGGACCATGAGTGCAAAATGGTTTAAAATGCCACAAGAATAGGAACGTAAAGTGCGTTTTCTCTTCTGTTTTTCCTTGTATAGGTTTTGTGACCCCCTTTTGTTAATGAATTAACAAGAGGCTCATAATATGCTCGGTTTGCTCAGCGAATAATTATTAGGGGTGGGTTGATAGTTTAACGTACAGAATGGCAAGGGCGCCACTGATTTTTTTTTTAAGAAAAATTTTGAAATCACATAAAATATTGGAAAGTGAAAACTCACAAACACACCTAGAGGCAAACGGTTAATGGTAATTCTGAAAAGGAAATAAATAAGGCACATAACTCAACTAAATCGTGTCACAGGTAAACCAATAAAACAATTAAGTAAGTTTCAAATTAAATTAGCCTATATTTTCACAGTCACTTAAAAATCGAGCATCAAATTTTAAAAGATAAAATCAGAGATTAACTCTCTATCTGTTTCATCAAATTTAAAACAAAAAAAATAATATTACAATGTACCTCAATATACTTGCCATGCAAATTCATTAACAGTTGCCGCCGGATAATAAAATCAATAAAACCAACTTGCACCTGTATGAAATCAAAATTGGGTTAAATAACAGTTATATGGTTGAGAGATATAATAGAAATCCCCAAATATATAAATTATAGGACCCAGGGTTAAAAATTGGTCAATTTTCGACGATGTCAGTTCCTACTTAATAATTTTGAGCTTAGAGCATGTTGTCCAACCATGACTTCTGATTACTGATTGATTATTATTGATAAAATATGGTACAATATTTAAATATGGCGGTACTAAAAGTTAAGTAACAAATAAAATCTATAGTAAATACGGCAAATCAAAAATCGGAAACAACTATCTAAAGTTCACTAAGGTGTCAAGAATATCATGAATGAAATTGAAACTTTAAAAATTTAAATGTAATGTCGGTGAAAATTTAGCTAATTATGGTAATTGACCATCAGGTAAATTTTATAAGAAAAGGTAATAAAGGTTATAAATGAAACTTTATACGATCCTCAATTCCAACAAAAAGGTAGAGCACGGTAGCCATGCATTCTCGGCTACTTGACGAGTGAGTGGCAACTGGAAGTTGCAGATTCTAGCCTAGAATCAAGGTAGATAGAGACTGGAATTTCTCAGTTGTCGTCAAATGTGGGGCACACGTATCGACTCGTGAAGGTCTTGATTCTTGTAGGAATCTCTTCAAAAGCTCTATGCCACAATCCACGGAAAAGGTGTTCTTTTTAAAAATGTGGCCTTTTAGGAATAGATTTGTTGGGAGAAACGGCTCCTCGGAAGACCCTAAGTATTAGAGGCATTCCTTGAAAAGCTATTACCTAAAAAAAAATTAAAAAACTTACGAGGAGATACGAAATTCAAACTCAAATAAAATTGTAATCACAAGACTTTTGATTTTAATTTTTTCGCTAATCAACGGATTATTGCTTTACGCAACTTTATTTTGTCAAGATAATGCCTGAAGGCCGATAAGGTACTTTATTTTCCACGAGCACGGTTGTCTCAAGAAGATGGCGATTTTCAGCCCAGTTAGACTTTTCAGCTCGAAGGCACAATTTAGAAAAAAAGATAATTGAAACGAACAAGGTGAGAAGACAGCGCTTCCCCTCCAAATATTCAACGGAAAACGTTGGTACTAAACCGGTACCTACGTCAAATTTTAATAAAAATCGTGCCCTCTTGTGTAATAATTTCATAATTGCTAATATTATAAATGCCAGAAATCTGTTTTTTTTTAATGCTAGTCACCAGACTGTCAACATTGAAAAGGTATAATAAAATTAAATTTGAAAAAAAAAGGAACAAGTAACTTCACATGTTACAGTTTTGGGAGGAATTTTGGATACTCCAGTTACATAATGTGGACTTCACTACCCAAAAGTTTCTAATCCAACCAGAAATTCCACTGGAATCCTTCCAAACAACAAAGTAGCAGAAGAAAACTTCTCGCAGAGCATTCCTCCAGCTTCAAAATCCATTGATATGCAAACAAGCGAATATATTAAAAACAACCAAATCCGTATAGCTTACTTAAGATACGCCTGTTTAACCCTAATAATTATTCAGCAAGAGTACTTCAAACAAGATTTACACTTTCGGAACATGAAATCTCCAGGTCGTCTTAGACAAACAGAAAGGGATTTCGGGAGTTCTCATGATCTCCAACTCCCATAGTAGTAACTTTACTTACTCCTCCTGGAGGGCCATTGTTTGCGAACGGTTTGCCCCAGGAGCCAGATACTTCGAGAACACAAACAAAAAGTTGAAATGTAACGATTGAAGTTTGTTTAAAAAATTCACTCCAGACAGAAAATTTATTTTAACTTTTCCGGTAGATGAATTCGTTATTAAAGGTTTTTTTTTTTTTTTTATTATGACAAAAAAGCCAATTAAACCGTGTTTGGTCTGATGGAAGACTCTATAGGATCGATAAAAAAAATATTGTTGGTCTTCAGCCTGTGTTAATTAAAACTTTTTTAATTTTGCTTTAAAATACACGATGTTGAAAACTGCTTCATAACACTTAACGCATTTTTGCCAAATCTATAACAAAGGTTCTGTATTTTTATTTATTTTTTTTTATAGGGAAGTGAATCATGGGCCCTCACTGACGACCATATTGTGATAATTATGGTTATCTTCTCCTTAATTTTAACAGGAATGTTTTTCACGTTTATCTACAACTGCGTTAAGAAGTTGTTGCGGGACCATCAGACAATACAGGTAAGAAAATGTTATAGTTTGAATATATTGAATAACAATCATGTCTTATAGGTAGTAACAAAATGTATGAGTTTATTTTCCATAGCTCTAACATTCTAAAATAGCTAAAACATTCATCGAAAAGATTTGGACAAAAAAATTATGTATTTACCAAAAAATCTTGACTGCCAAATAATTTTTTTTATGAAACCAGTGGTTGATGAACTATTTCAATTTAAACCTCCCCAAACTTACGTTTCTTTAACACATTTATCGAGCTTTTTCTGTTGTCTGAAAATGAGAGTTTCTTTTTGGTCTTACAATCACTTAACTGGCATTATGGACGGGCGTTGAACTAAATTAAGCATAAGTTTAGTCTGGCACTGATATATTTTCGTCTGGGTGAAAAACGTTAAATGTTCTTTCGCGGGGCGCGTTCCCCATTAATTAAAAGCGTAAACAAAAGGTTTTGGTTCGGAATATTCGAGTAATGGGGGCTTTTGTGCAGTAATAATGAGATCAGTTCTAAACGTTTTCTAAACTTATTACAGATCCTGTATAATCAAAAATCCAGTATAAATTTTTAAAAAAAGACGTCAAATTTACGTTCTTTTTAACGAACTTTATCGTAACAACTTTATTACAAAATAATCGGCTTTGAACCCGGAACATTAATAAACACGAGCTCCTGGCGTAAGCGGCAAAGAATAAAACCTAATTTCACAAAAATTGCCAAAGAGTCTAAACACGTCATTAATCAAAATTAAGTCCAGTAATAACCCGAGCTTGAACGTTAAAGTTTAATTTGAAAAGCTTCATTTTGCGCCGGTAAATAATATAAAAAGGTCATCAATTTTTATTACCCTGCCATCGCCTTTTTAGCGATAGGCACCTCTTCATTGTCCCTTGTATTTTTTCGAGTCTTTATAAAACGGTTACCGTGTACCGGGGTTTATCGCCTTAACTCTTTTTCATTGTTTAAATGACAGGTAAAATCTGTCTTTATTTAAAATTTTTATTTAGTTTTATCATCTCTGGTATAAATTACAGTGTGTTGATTGATTGATTTGATATACAGCAGCAAGGCAAGGTTTAGTGATTTCCTGACACTGTAACTAGTTAGCCTATTGTATCCCTTGCTGTATAATTTTCTGCTAAAATAGGTTTGACACCTCCACCAGATGCAGTTGCCTCTCTATTAGCGTCTCCAGGGGACCGTCCTCCTAGATGTGCACCACATCCAGAAGGTGTCGAGTTGTCCAGTGAGCGAGTGCTGAGCACTCGAATAAGTTGTGAGAGCCTGATTCTTCGTCCTCCTCGCACAGTCTACAGATTGGTTCATCTAGGTAGATACCCATCTTGTGTAAGTGTTTTCTCAGTGTCTAGTGGCCGGTTGAGAGTCCTGTCACAATGCTGATCTGATTCCTCGTGTGCTTTAGGATCTCAGAGGGTATTCTCACCATTGCCTTATTGTGGTGTTGCCTCGGTGTTTGATACTATTGGTTTTTCTGTTCCTCTCGGATCGACTTTTCTAAGTAGCCACGTATCGAGGTTTTTGATGCTCCGAATACAGGTTCAGGACCCATGAACTGCAGGAGAGTGGAAGGTAAGGCGTCATTCCACCTAGTAAATCATTCTTCCCCCACCCACATCCCCACCACCTACCCCACTCCTAACCCCACCACCTAACCCACTCCTAACCCCACCACCTAACCCACTCCTAACCCTTCCAAATACCCCGCTCCACGTTTTCTTCCTTCTTCGACTACTGTATATCACACTCTCCGGTGTCATACGATTTTTATTTAGTTGTTCAATCAGTTTAGTAAGTGATTAACAAAACACAAATGTTGACTCCATCAATAGCAGTTTCGGGACTTCAAATTTTTTTCATTGAACATTTAAATCAACTCATTCAAACAGAAAGTACTTCAATTTATAATGCAGAATTAATTCTATTAATTGAGGAAGTGATAGAATTGTGTGAAAATTTGCTACAATATAAGATAAATATTAAAAAATGTTGTGATATACATAGTGAATTTGGGACTACAGTCAAATAAATTCGCAAAAGAAATGGAAAATATGACTTTAGAAGAATAAATTTGCTGTCCAAGATGTTTCAATGTAGTGATTGTAGTAAAACTTTTACTCAAAAATACAATCTTTACCAGACACACTAGAGAATCGTGCATATATAGACCATCATGTTCTAGTGACCAGTTCTCTATCAAAAGAAATGCTGATTCCCAAATAAGTGATCAACCACCAAAAAAACCGAAAATACAAGAAAATAATGTACAAAAATAATTTACAATAATCGAAATTACCAAAACTGATACCAGCACGTTTTTATTTATTTATTTTTATTTTTTTATTTAAAACTTTACAAACACCAAACTGGTAATTACATGTAAAGAACACTTAAAATTAGGTACTTAAAACTAGCAGAAAAACAGACTTGAGAGGTTTGGCTTGGAATGAACAGCCAAGAGAGGGCTAGATTCCTTCCCACCTAGGGCACTGTCTTGAGACACTTCATGAGTAGATTCAGTGGACTATTGAACACGTCAATATCATTTTTCAGTAGGAATTCATAACAAATTTTTAGCATGTTATTTATAGGTGAAAGACTTCTTTTCTGATGTGTAAACATATCTCTATTTAAAATGCGCAAATTTACTTTCGGGACTTTAAATTTAATAAATTCTATAGGATTAAAGTCTTTATACTTTATATTATTTAAAGTAACAATAGTTAAGTTATATAATAGTCTTGTACGCCCGCACTTGGAATATACTACCAATGTGTGGGCACCTGTAACGTTTGTAGGCGGCGACCTGATTGAAAAGGTACAGAAAAAGTTTCTAAGATTCTTGTATGTTAAGCAAAACAATGTTTATCCTTTTCTGATATTTTACAGATCAATGCTTGCGGGATATGGTTTCTAAACATTGGAGAGTAGAAGAAAAACACAGGCTGTTACGTTTATTCAATTTATTTTTTTTTTTTTTTTTTTTTTTTTACGGATATGCGCACTCGCAAGGAAATGTCCTATGCCGCTTCTCGAGCGTGATAGGACATTGTCCTTGCGAGTGCGCATATCCGTAAAAAAAAAAAAAAAAAAAAAAAATAAATTGAATAAACGTAACAGCCTGTGTTTTTCTTCTACTCTCCAATGTTTAGAAACCATATCCCGCAAGCATTGATCTGTAAAATATCAGAAAAGGATAAACATTGTTTTGCTTAACATACAAGAATCTTAGAAACTTTTTCTGTACCTTTTCAATCAGGTCGCCGCCTACAAACGTTACAGGTGCCCACACATTGGTAGTATATTCCAAGTGCGGGCGTACAAGACTATTATATAACTTAACTATTGTGGCGATCTCGAAATTCTTAATATTACGTATGACAAAACCCAATGCTTTAAATGCCTTATTTACGCAATACTGATAATGCTTAATAAAATTCAAGTTTGCCTGATATTTAACTGCCAAGTCTGTCACTTCAAGTTTCCTATCTAAAATCGAGATACCAATCCGATAGTCATTCGGTACAGGAGACAGTGTAAGATATAGTAAAACATTTTCCAATATTAATGGACAGTTTGTTGTCAAGACACCAATCTGTCACAGCGTCCAAATCAGTCTGTAACAAAACAACGTCGTTGCTATCTGAGACTGGCCTAAAAATCTTGAGATCATCTGCATACAAATAAGCTGAAGAGTATTTAACCACTTCAGAGAGTGAGTTGATGAAAATAATAAAGAAGAGTGGCCCGAGTTTACTTCCCTGGGGTACTCCAGATGTAGTAAAAAATTGGTTTGAAGATTGCTTGCCAACCCTTACAAAGTTAGGCCTATTAAGCAAGTACGATTTTCGAAATGTATATGTTTCCTTAGAGATTCCATAATATATCAATTCATTCAATAACAATCCATGGTCTACCTTATCAAATGCCTTAGACAGGTCAGTGTACATAGTGTCCAGCTGTTGACCATGTTCAATTGCACTTGTAGCGGACTCCGTAAATACGCAAAGATAACTCATTGTGGACCTGCCTGGCATAAAACCATGCTACGCAATAGATATCTTGGGTTCTATAAATTTAAATAAATCAACATAGATAAAATTTTCATAGATTTTGGCGATGACATTAATCAAAATAATAGGCCTTTAATTCACAACCTCATTTAGTTTCCCTTTTTTATGGACAGGTGTAATAGTTCAGTTTGTTCGGAAATTGATTATTTGCAATGTCCAGATTAAAAATGTGTACCAAAGGCTTTGATAAAGCTTCAGCGCAGCCCTTAAATATATAAGAGGTTATGCCATCAAGGCCAGTTGACTTCTTTAATTTTAACTGTTTAATACTGGCAAGAAAGTCACTCTAAGTAACAAATGAAAACTTAAAATTTTCCTATTCCTGGCATTTACCATCAATAGTTACAGTGTTGCTTTGGTAACTTGATTTAAAGTAATCTTCAAATATTTGGGTAATTTCCTTTTATCCACAGAAAGAGTCGCCTTCAAAGGTTACTTCCTGAGATCCCATAGTGGGATTTTTTGTTCTTCACAAAACGCCAAAAACTCTGCGCATCAATATTTATGTTAGCTTCTATCATTTTCTGATAGGCAGCAAATTCACTCTTAGTTTGGTGCTTGAGTTCTTCTCGCAGTCGTGAATATTGAATAAAGTTTTCAGAGCTTGCACTTTTTTTGTTTAGTTTTTGATGTAACTTACTTTTCTTTTTTAATTTAGGTCTGAAATCTGGTGAATATCAAGATAGAAGAGCCTTGTGGCGACTACTTTTATTTCTAGCATAAAATTTAGGAACCGCTAGATCCAGGCATTCAGAATTTTTTGTATAGAAACTCTGGAGACTATCGTCAACATTTGTGCCTTCATAAACTGAGGACCAATCACAATTTGTTAATACATTATACAACAATAAAAAATCACCCCTAGAATAGTCATATGCAAATACCTTCTGACAACGACCGTCCAATACTTTTGC